GCGATCAATCACTAGAGTTCACCGACTCGAGAACGGCCGAGGCACAAAACCACCACCATTCGCCGATGTCCCCCTATCAAAAACTACTGGCGCTAACTGACGTACAAACTTGTCTGGGCGCCGTCCGGAATGTCTTCAGAATGCTGACGTTGGCTGGTCGTCGGCCGATAAACCCACTGTCGCACAACCCCCTATCGAGACGAGAGTAGTTAGCGCGACCTCACCGTCGGGTGTCTGTTATCAGGCGTTGGCAGAAGACCGCCAAGGACGCGAAGACGCATTGCACACGGCTATCCATCCTCTCCCGCGCCGCCAACAAAAAACCATATTACGCTTTTCGAATCCCGCACACTGCAATCATCATTCGCCAGCTATCGATCGTAAACAAGTGACAATTTTACATCGAAACCTTAACACCCCGGGAAAAACAGTGGCTCCTCAACCTGTAACTTGAAACAGTTTCTAGACAAAGACAAACGGAGTGAAGTCTATAAACGGGTAAAAGGACAAAGCCTTTGCTGTTGCCCTTCCCTTTTGGCACGACAGATTGTGGACCATTTATTTCCAGACTCTTCCTAGAGGCCAGCTGTTTTATTGCAGTCTTGTCCAACCGGGTTAAGCACCCCTCCCACAGGTTACCCGCGTGTGAAAGGCGGACACTCAAATGCTTTTTCCAAACCTCTTGGCTAGAAGGGTATTTTCAAAATTTATCAGTTTTTTTCCGACTCTATACATCGGCCATTAGAAAACCTAATGGGATGAGACTGAGGCGAAGGTGCTGCAGTAGCAAGTGGCACGCTTACCACGCGCGCGATCCAAGGGTCAAATTCCGTATAGGCCTTGGCTCAGGCCAACCAAGGCTCCTACCTTACGGACGGTGAACAGGTAACACATTGGTAGAGGAAGATAAAAACACTGACTTGCATCGGCTGGCCACCGCAAGTCATTGTATAGGCCACATCGCATTCAATAAGCCACTACGATTCTGAATGGAAGTAGAATGCGTGCCGCATCCCAAAAGATTGACCATCGGCGAGGACTTTATCCCTTTACCCCGATTCTATCCGAGGTGTTCAGAAAAACCATTTGAATGCCTACTTGGCGCATGTGGGGAACTCTGGTTCGCTTCATTCGGTTGGGCACGACTGCTATAAAATAGATGACTTCTCCGAAAAAACTGGGAATAAATGGTCTAGATCATTTTGTTAAATTGGGACCTCTCGTATATCTCGGGCGGCGTACTGCGTCATCAAATCTTCTAAAAATAACTCCTATTATTTGCTTAGGCTTAAGCCCAGTTGCGAAATCACAACGAAACGTCATCCTCACGTTATTGTTAGACAGCCGGATAGCGCCTTGCACTTCACAATTGTCTTGTGTGAGCCACGGCGCACTTCGGCGATGGGGGGGGGGGCATTTTGCACTTTCTTCACTAGTTTCGATGCACAAGTATTACTCTGGTAAAATCCGTTAGCTTTTTAAAGCTGGAGCAAGCGTTAAGCCACCGCGGTGAATAGTAGGTGTAATGTGTAGTAAGTGAATAGCATTTCACTGCTTTGAAACAAATGACAGGTAATTTACAAGATTCAACCGGTGGTTTCTGCAAGTTTTGGCTGATATCATTTCGCGGCTTGACAAGACAAGTCAGCCTTCACAGGTCTCCCCTTGATGGCTCGACACGTTGATGGGTAGTAGCAAAAAAGTGCAAAATGCCCCCCCCCCGTCGTTGAACTGTATTTTCAACTAACCTCCCCTTCTAATCCGCAACCAGCTGCTGATTCTCGTAATATGTCATGTTAGGTGGGGTGGCAACTCGCAAAGCATAAAAGTTGGAGCTCTTTGTCGTGCCCGAACAAAGTTATAGGATTTTAAAAGCGTTAAAGCACCACAGTTTCGATTTCTTTACAAGACAGAGTTTCCGGTTGCTTTCGAACTTCGGTGGGCCTGATCAGTGCACACACATCGAAGTGTGAACTGATTTTGCACCCACATCAAAAGGACACCGTGAATTCTTGACGTTGTTCATTCCCGTTTTGAAATTCCTCACGCACTCGTCTTCCATCAAGAACATTATGACCTTGAAATGATCAAATGGCTCATACATATTTGAGGCCCCGTTGACCTACACTTTGTTACTCTACCTTCAAAATGAGGAAAAGGTGGCTTAGTGATCAAATCAATCAATCAATCAACCTCCGCCTAATAACCTTTTTTCCCTCCGAAGCCGGTGAAATGATATCACTCGTTGACTCGTTGGGCAGGATAAAAACCCTGGCTCATACATGACGCTGACCGCCACAAGTCACGGCATGGTCATATCATATTCAAACACCAATCTGGCTCTAAACGGATGTGGAACGCGTGCAGCATGCCAAAACGGAATTAAATAACAACCAATATTCTATCATCTTATCCATCCATCACTACTAATACACTCCGAAAAGATTGGAGGCTCATCTGGCTTGGATGGAATCCAATCCCCGTACTACATGTATTATAGCGGCACCGCTCACCATTAATTCCTCTCCTTCAGAATGGTAGTAGCTTTACTCACCCCTCTAAACAAGGTAAACAAGATGCTTGCACATTATGTTCTCTGCTCCCATTTTCATTGTAATAACCGCTTCGAGCCCGGTCTAAGGTTAAGATTTTTGTCCATGACTTAGCTGTTAGACAGAATAATGAAGAAGCCGTGGAACTCTGGACATTTGCAGCAAAAGTTCATTGCAAAATAGCCTAGATGAGTTTTTAAAAAACCACTGAAGAGCTTGAACTGTCGGCGCCTACGGCGCGGGCGCTAGGAATGGCTAAAAAGTAGCGAAATGAGAACCACGGCATGGCATCTCACCTTGGAGACTTTGAAAACGACTTACGATCCATCCCTTTGCTAAGGCTTGACCTTAGCAAGGGATGGATCGCCATCGCAGGCAGCCAGAAAGGGTGCTGCCCTGTCTCGCCGTATTTCGCTGTCTTAGCACACCACTTGGCACGAAACCGCCCGGAGTCCGCTGTATGCACGCCAATATCACAGGACGGCAGGCGCTTTAGAGATAAGCTGATGTGATATTCGAATTTAGAGGTTCAAAAACCCTGAAGAACTTGATGTCGGGGCGGGTTCGAGCTAAGCGGATGATGTTCGGGGTCAAGGGTACAAAGCCCCTGAAGACAAAGTTTCCGAATTCGGTGACCTAGGGCATCTTGGCGCCGGTGCGTGTGCGCCAGGCGGTTTCGGGCCGAGGATGTGGTACTGGCGTCTAGGAGGTCAAGCAATCCCTGGAGGCGAGTTTTCCGCCAAATCTGGTTTCAGACAAAAGTCCATGAAAAACTGTACTTGGGAAGATTGAGACGCAAAGGCAAACAGTACCACTTCTTTCTTCTATTGCGTCACTTTCACCATTAGAACAACCAGTACCATTATCTCATCACATTAATCATAAAGGCTCCATTACTACGTCGACGCATTTGGGAGGCGGAGTTGACAACGGAAATAGAGCTACCAATCTTTGAGACCTTATAGCGTCGCTCATAAGCCGTCCTTCGCCGCAAGAATGTCAGATAACCACTTCTCTATCACATCAGCACCTTATCAACAGCTAGTCACCGAGACGAAGGTTATCGCGGACAGCGCCCTCGAGAGATGACCTAATAAAGACACCACTTTTCACCGCATGTGAATACTACTCGAATGGGAAATCCAAGTAGAAATTGTGTTTTCAAACTACTCCAATTCCACGCGTTATCAGCGCCAGCACCGATATTCCCATAGGGGAGCATCCATTGCCTGAACGAAAGAATGTGAAAGACAGACGTCGCGATGGCGATGAAGGCGGAGTGGTCTGGGTGAAAAAGTGGCGCCCAACGTTGCCCTCAGTGGTCCGGCTCCACAGCGAGTGCAACCCTGGCTTTAATGGATTATATCATTATGTCTCGAACCCCTTCAAAATCCCCTACTCTCAATATTTGTCCATCCCACAGAGTATTCGTGAGTCATCTAATTAAATAAAAGTGACTTCACTGTCGCAGTGCATGTGGATTCAATACTCGTTGTCGACGACACCTACGCACTTGAACTTTTTTGTTTCGGTCATTCCGACATGGCTCGCTTTCAGTCGAAGATGACGTTGGGATAAAGCTACTGCAGTATCTCTAAGCAAAAGAAGTGCAATGAAGGACCCCCCCCCCAGCTACGATGGATTCGACGGGTCAATTAAAAAAATCGCAGCGATAGCGCAATGGACAACGCACTCACCCGCTAAGGGTGAGGTGCGGGTTTCAGTCCCACCTGCGATCCGACTTTTCCCTATTACTCAACATTCCTGCGGTAACTTCCGAAGCGCGAACTGCGGCATCAAACAGTAGTTATCATAATAAAAACATCTCGAAAAGATTCCACAATCCTGCCCACAGGGTACAATAATGGTACTTCCCTTATCCATGTACTTTTGCGGTTTTAGGCACGTCCCCAGAATCCCACCACCCCAGGCGAACAGGAGTCTTGGAGGGGAGGGGGCGGGGGCAAGGGCTATTTCGCTCGTTCTCATCGACGTGGTGAATTGTAAGACCCTCGTAAAGCTACGAAATTGTACTCAGCAAA